GGCTGGCGCGGGATCGGGCAGTGTTTCGTTCTGCTGTGCATGGGGTCGCTATGAGTCGGAAACGACTCGACGGCACTTAACAACAACAACTCATTACTTCCAAAAAGAAACTCATTAGCAGTCACTAGTCCCCTTTCACTCTTCCCTCAGCCCCTGGAAACCACTAATTTACTTTGTTTCTATCAGTCTGTGTATTGGTAACATTTCATATAAAATGGAGTCAAACAATAAGTGGTCTTTTGTGACTGGCTTCCTTCAGTAACCATGTTTTTAAAGGTTCATTCATGTTGTAGCATGAATCAGTATTTCATTCCTTTTTATTGATGAATATTCCATTGTATTACTGTATAGACAGATGACCCCCCACCTGCTTTTTTGTCCATTCATCATGGATTGGGTTGTTTCCACTTTCTAGTTATTATTATGAAAGATGCTATGAACATTTCTATATAAATTTTTGTATAGACATACACTTTCATTTCTCTTGGGTAAGAGGAAAATTGTGAGGACCTACAGGTATTTGCACAGTGGCTCCACCATTTTATATTTCCACCAGCAATGTTTAAGGGTGCCAGTTTCTCCACATCTTTGCCAACATTTGTTATTTTCCCTTTTTTGATTATAGACATGTGAACACTGGCTAAGTGCTCAGCTGCTAACTGAAAGGTCAGCAGTTTGAACCTACCAGCTGGGAGAAAGATGTGGCAGTCTGCCTCCATAAAGATTATTACAGCCTTGGAAAGCCTACATGGCAATTCTACTCTGTCCTATAAGGTCATTATGAGTTGCAATTGACTCCATGGCAATGGGTTTTGTTTTTCAGTTACTTTGTGTGATATTGTACAATAGCATTGTTGCTTTGATTTGCATTTCCCTGATAGCTAATTATGTTGAAGCTAATGATGTTGAGCATCTTTTCATGTGCTTAATGACTATTTATATGTCTTCCTTGGAGAAATGTTTATTCAAATCCTTTGCCCATTTTTAAACTGTTTATGTGTCTTACTTGTTGTCATGGAATAAGAGTTCTTTATATATATATGCCAGATCCTAGATCCTTATTAGACAAATGATTTGCAAATATTTTCTCCCATTCTGTGGGTTGTCTTGTTTACTGTCTTTTGTTAATTACAACTGAGAAAAAGTTATGAATTTTCCGGTGTCAACATTTAGTTAGCTTGCCTTTGTCTGATGGTATTTATATGGGTGTGTATTACCAGCATCATTTCCTATGGCTCAGGAGCTGAGAGAGGTTCAGGGAAAGCTAACCTGGGTCTGGATCTATTTTATTTTATTTTTTACCTCAGAGTATCTACTAGTCGTCTTGCAATGCGCTTTCTTCTCTTTAGTCTGAAGACCCAGATTCTACTTATCCCACAGACTGCAGGTTGCGGTACATTTGAACATTGCCAAGCCCTGTGACTTTCTTTAGAGCTTGAGGATTCTGGGCGAATTGGTTCAGATAGGACACGGAAAGCCTACAATGATACAGAAGCTTTATAGGTAACAGCACAAATGAATTCACATTTCTTTTTAAAAATCATTCCTTAAACAACATTTAAGTATTAAAATTAGTCTTACTATATCTCTATCAAAAATGTTAAAATCCATTGATTTTTTAAACATTCTTGTCCATTTATAGCCACACAATGCTTAAGGAATCCTGATGGTATTCAGATATCACATTCTACTTCATTCCACACCATTGGGAAACTTCCCTCTTTTATCAATTAAAAAGTTATTTTTAAAAAATCAGACTCTTACTTTTAATATAATACATAAACTTCTATTTTCTCCATCCCAAACTGTTTATGTGATAACCTAAAAAATCTAATAACATTAAAGAAATTTTTTATCTATGACATTTGATTGGTGTATCTTTAGTTTTTAATTAATTATTTTAAAATAAATTATAGATTTACAGGAAGTTGTAAAAATAGTAGAGGACCCATATATATAGGCTTCACTTCATTTCCCCTAATTGTTACATCTTGCAGAACCATAAGACAGTACCAAACCAGAAAATTAACACTGGTGTAATGTGTATATATAGTTCTACATTATTTTGTCACACGTGGAGACTTGTGCAATCACCATCAGTCAGGATACAGAACTAATATCACCACAAAGTTCTCTCATGCTACTCCTTTACAGTTATACCCACTCCTATCCCCCCACCATCTTTAATTTCTGACAACCATTAATCTGTTCTCCATCTCTATAATTTTGTCATTTCAAATAGTACTATAGAAATGGAATCATACAGCATGTGACCCTTTGAAACTGGCTCTTTTCACTGAACATAGTGCTCTTTCAATCCATTCCACATTGTTGCATTGATAGTTTGTTAATGTTTGTCACTGAATAATAAATAATCCATGGAAGATGTACCACCATTTGTTTAACCATTCACCTACTAAAGGACATTGTAGTTGTTTCTAGATTTTAGCTGGAAACAAATAAAGCTGCTATAAATATTTATGTACAGATTTTTGTGTGGATGGAAGTTTTCATTTCTCTGGAATAAATGCCCAGAAGTGATTTCTGAGTCATATGATAAATGGATGTTTCATCCTTAAGAAACTGTCAAACTTTTTCCACAGTGACTATACCATTTTACATTCTCATCAAAGATCTAGATTCCCTATATCCTCACCAGCATTTGGTGGTGTTACTATTTTTCATTTTAGCTGTTCTGATAGGTGTGCCTTTCATTAAGTTATACTTCTGTCAAGAAAATTTTGCTTCTAAACTGAGAATGGACAGAAGAAAATATGTATGAGTTGATGGCTACATATGCCCGTTATTACTCCATAAACAATCTATTCCTTTAAGATCAAAGGAAGAAAAAGGCCAAATTGATCATTTTTACTGCCAATAACACAAAAAAAATTGCTTTCTTTTTCAAGTTCTGATGACACAAAAAGAGACCATATATACACAAGATAGGAAAAAGCATAAAAGCAAATGAAAATACAGAGAAATAAAGAATAGAAATAAGCCAGAAGGAGGACACTTAAAAAAAATACAAATTAAATTTATGCTAGTATCATTTCAAGATATATTTAGATAGATAAGTTATTTTTAAAAAAGAAGGAGACATAAATGTAGGATATTACCAGCTGAGGTAAAAAAGAGCAATTATGAACTGTAGTTTTTTCCTAAGAAGATACTGTATGTTCCTTGAGGGCAAAAACCACATCTCTGTTCTAAACAGGGGTTGGCAAACTTTTTATGCAAAGGGCCAGATAGTAAATATTTCAGGTTTTGTGGGCCATGTAGTCTCTGTTGCATCTACTAAACTCTGCCATTGTAGCATGAAAGCCACCACTGACCATATGTAATTGAATGAGTATGGTTCTTACAAAAACAAGTGGTAGGCCACACTTGGCCACATAGTTTACTGACCCCTATTTCAGAACACTGCTATTTAGTATCTGCAGTAGAGTCTAATTAAGGGACAGGTTATGGTTATTTTGCCAAATACTTTCTACTAAGCCACATGGTCAGTAATTTGGCTCTGAGGATTTGCTTACTTAAAATCACTATATTTTATAGTCCAGATACGGAAAACAGACATATTCTGCCTCAAACAAAACAAAACACATTGCCATTGAGTCAATGTTGACTCATAGTGACCCTATATAAAAGAACAGAACTTCCCTATTGGGTGTCCAAGGCTGAAAATCTTTAAGGCAAGCAGATTGTCTCATTTTTCTTCCACAGAGTAGCTGGTGGCTTTGAACTGCCAACCCTTTGGTTAGTGGCTGAATGCTTTAGCCACTTGCAGTGTAGCAAATTACTTTGTATGGCTTTTCTACCCCATAAGTCATTGTAAACTCAGTGGTGGAATGAGCAACTGAGGAGCTCCTGATTGTAAATGTTATCCAGGTGGAGTGTTTCTGTTGGGCGTGGCACAATATAATGTTCTGGGAGATTCCCACTCTCTCTCAGGTGCTTAGAGTTCTGCTACTATGATTGGCTAGTTTGACCACCCTGCCAGGCTCAAAAGGAGGCCTCCTAGAGGCAGAACTCTCTCTGACTGCTGGCTGAGGAAGGATGTACTCCTGTGAGAGACGTGCTGCTGGAAGAGACACGTGCTGCTGGGAAAGAGACTCAAGAGACACGCATTGCTGAGTGAGACACCAAGGGACCAGCACTGCTAGGAAAGAGACTGTGAGAGACTGTTGGCTGAGGGACGGTGGGCTGGGAGAGAGACTGAGCATTCTTCCTGAACTTGAGTTGTAGCCTGGTGCTTCCCTAATAAACCCCGTAATCCGTGAATTCTGTGTGGCCACTGCAGCGAATTATTGAACCCAGGAGAGAGGTGGTGGGTGCTTTGGGAGGAACGGTTGGTAAAAGGGCTGGAGGGAGGCAGCATGTCTGGCCTTGTAGGAATAGGCCTTGGGTTACTGCTGGTAATCCTGTCTTCCTCTTGTAAGATTAGAGGAGGTCAGAACATGTGGCCTCCTAGCCGTTTTTGCACCACTACATCACCAGAGCTCCATATCCTGCTTATATAAGGCAAACATCAAACATAATAGAAATAAATGACTTTATCTATGTAGTCAAGGATATTTTAGTAGGGGGAAAAAGTCATTAATAGAGTCAATCTTAAATGCTGATTGAGACTTCTCCAGCTACCTTATTTTGCTCAAAAATTATGCCAATAATTTAAAAGACAAATATCATACCTGTTTGATAGGCTCTGCTATTAAACACCCAACTACTTTCTTTTCATCAGATATAAAGAGAAAAGTTTTGATTTTGTTTGGACACTTAGGAGTAACTTGATGGAATCCTAATTCATTGTCGACAAGTTCTTGGACATCTTCTACCTAATAGCATTAAAGACCAAGAGGTGAATTTGTTTTAAAATGCACAATAAAGATGAAATATATATTCACACAAAACAAAAAAACCAAACTCACTGCTGTCTAGTCAGATCCAACTCATACAGACCCCTCCTTGGGTTTCTGAAGCAGTATCACTATGGAAGTAGACTGTCCAATCTTCCTTCTGAGGAATGGCTGGTGGGTTTGAACCACCAGCCTTCTGGTTAGCAGTCAAATGCCTCAGGCACTACGTCACTACCCACACAATTTATGATTACTATAATTTTTTCTGCTTTTATCTCTATTTCCTAAATTTGTATACACCCTAAATTATTTCACTATTGATGCACGTACCTGCCAGTTTGGAAACAATGTTTTAAGGATCTATTTTAAAGAGCAAAAATAAATTCATACCCCTGGGAGAGATAAGGAGTAGAAAGCACCAAAACAGATTATAATTTCATCCATTCTTCAGCGTGACTAAATAACCAATCCAAAAAATATAAACACCACCAACCTAAGAAACAGGCTCTGGAGTTAACAAGTTCTCAACACTGAAAAGCTTAGTTTATCTTTCACAAATGGAAGGTGAAGGAAACTGTAGAGCCTTAACTGCTTTCTTTACTCTCCCACTGAACATTCCTTTATTTGTCTTATAATTCTCAGCTCAGTGTCATATGAACTGCTATAAGGGTCATCCTTAGAAAGTGGGCTATCTATTAGCAACGGATTTTACTTTTCAACATAGGTTGATTTCTTGAAGACTTAGAGGAAAGAGAACAAGGTTTAAAAAGATAATGTCCCACACCTTTCTGATAGCATAATTTGGATCATGTGGCAGGACCAACACAATTTTTCCATCCCAAAACTCTGCTACTACACGTTCCTTCTTCCAACCCTGCCAAAGGCAAAAAGAAAAAAGTCAGTTTAATTTCTGAAAAAGGAAAAAGAATATTAAATAATTTGGCCTGGAAAGAACAAAAGGCTGAATAATGAATGATATAAAAAGAATGAAACCTTGCTAAAGGAAATAAAAGATCCCTACAACAAGGTGCCTACTCTCAAAGTGCTGGCACATTATTGGGAGACAGGTACACAATCTATTATGAAACAGGGAAAAGTCAAATAAGAGCACTTAATCAGAGTACAGACAAAAAATGATGAATGATTAGGCATGTGAAAAAGGATAGAATAAACAGAGTTCCAAGAGAAGGCTTAATAAGTTTATTAGGAAGAGTAAATGTGTTCGCTTCCAGGGAGGGGAATTGGATGCCTGGAGAGGAGAAAAAAGAAGGGGCGGCATAGTGGGAGAAATACTTTTCACTGGATACATGTCTGTACTTTATAAATTTTGATCCATAAATTATTATTTTTTCAAAAACAAATTTAAACCTCAGGAAAAAAAGGAGAATAAATCAGTAATATAGGATTAATACAGAAAATATATAATGATTAACGTATAGTAACCCTGTTCCCATAAATTAAAGAAAGCAACCCAATATACACAGTGCTCAGGCCTAATCAAAAGAGCCTAACGGCCAAGAGCTGAGAGCTCAAGTGGGAATGCGCCATGAGATGAGGTGGGTAGAGGCCATATTATGAAAGGTTTTGTTGGCCATGGTAAGGAGTTTGGGTTTTATCTTAAATGCAATAGGAAGCTGTCAAATTTGAAACAAAAAATGGTAGAATTTTTATGTAGCTTGGAAAGAACTCTCTGGCTTATATATGAAAAACAAATCAGAGAGGGCAAGAGATTAAATTACAACACACGCTCTTGCACTCTCTCTCTCTCACACACACACACAAACACACACAACACAGAGTGACTGAGGCCAGATTAAGGAGCACCTAATTGCTAGTGGAAACTTTTTTCTGTAAGTAAGTAGAATCATGCTGGACCTGTGTTTTAAGAAGTTATTCTGGGAGATTAGTGAGGAAGATGATTTAATAAACCAGGCAAAAAATACTATGAAGGTATGAACATGCAATAAAAACAGGAAAAAAAATGCATTTGAGTATCAGGTACAATCATAAAAATAAGGCCAATGATCTAACAATGTATTTGGACTAGAAAAGTGCTTGATAGAGGTGGGACCTCTTTCCTAAGAGAGTTAAAAGCCTGGAGAAGTGATAAAAAAGGCTGTTTTTTTTTCCTAAGACTTTCTATTAAAAAAAAAAAAATTATTCAACTTAGGTCAATACTTCTCAAACTAGGATGGAAAATTTGAAACAGCATTAATAATGTCATCTTCAAATATTAAAGACAAAAAACAGATGATGAAATGTTTATAGATACATAGATCGGTCCACATTTAATCAAAAGGAATCTATCCTTAAAAGAAGTTTTACTTTTAGAACACAATCTGAAAGACTGTCTTTTGACTTACTGAATATTTAATTCCCTCCAGAAATCTCTGGTGATACTGAACATGCTGCAGTTCATCTTCAGGGTTGGAAGCAGTATAGATCATGCCACAAGACTTACATATTGTAGCCCCAAAATGCTTCTGACCTGCATCCTGTAATGGAGGGTGGAGATTAAAAAAGCCCATCTAAACATTACAAATAGGTCTAAACTAAGGTTGTACAAACAATTCATTCATATTTCAAGTTTCTTTTTATTTTTCTTTTATGTTGGCTCAAGTAAAATACTTAAATCAAAGTCTTTCTACCCCTCCCCAAAAATGTAATGGCATGGGAAGTGGCCTAAATAGGCAATAAATTGATGACAGAAATGGAACTGTCTCTTTGACTGGATGGTATAAAATCAAGATTCTTTAGTTAGACCCATGGTTCTGACTAAATCATAACAATTAAGCCTAAGATGAACACTGAACAAAACAAACTCACTGCCATCGAGTCAGTTCTGACTCATAGTGAACCCTACAATGGAACTTCTTTATAAAACTCTGAAATGAGAGACCTAAAAAAGCCTTATTTCAAAGAGGCAGGGAAAAAAATTAGGAGTTCTATACTCATGATTAGGAGTCCATGGGTGGTGCAAATGATTAAGCACTTGACTCTACCAGCTGGCAGTTCAAACCCACACAGAGGCAACTCAGAAGACAGACCTGGTGGTATCCTTTGGAAAGGTCACAGCTTTGAATATTCTATGGTGCAGTTCTACTCTGCACACATAAGTCAGAACTGACCCAATGGCGACTAACAACAACATACTCATTATATAGTATTCTTTTGTTAAGTGGCTAGAAATATTAAAATTCTTTGCCCCAACAGTTGGTAAAAAATATATATATAATAAGAGTTCAGGAAAAGTACAGATCAATTCATGAATAAACAGATTCTTGTAGGAAAGTAAGGGATATTTAATGTTATGGCTGATAACTTCCACTTTATCTCATAAACTTCTGCTCATTGACACTGAAAATACTAGGGTCTGAACTGTCTAATACAGGGGTTAGCAAAATTTTTCTGTAAGGGGCCAGAGAATAAATATTTTAGGTTTTGTGGGCCAAATATGCTATGTTATATATTCTTCTTCCTCATCTTTAATTCTTCAAAAAAAGTACAGGTCATGAGCCAGAACTGACTTACAGCTGTAGTTCACCAAGCCCAGCCAGTTCTAACACAATATGATTATTCTCATTAAATCTTTTGTTGATCAAAAATGATTTTCCTTACCTGGAGACAACTCATTCATTAGCATTTTACTAAAATACTAGCTTTGCCCAAGACTATTGGTTTAAAATCTACTGACTAGCTTTATTATTATTATTATTATTATTAAATCAACTGACTAGCTTTAATTACAAAAAACCTGGCATTTACAAAACTCAAGAGTGTCTATAACCCATGTTAACAATATCTAGAAAATGTCTGAATTCATATTCTGTATGTGAGAGCTACATACAGGAGGAGCTTTATTTTGAATTTACTTACAATGATGAACTGGTCTTTTATTTCTTTATTTGTATCTCTGGCATTTTTCTGTGTACTGGTCTGTTTCAAGAAGTTGGTAGATAAAACGCAGCCCACGGAAGACTGCTCTTCAGCTAGAGATCTTAAAATAGAAAGTTGATAAATATCATTTAATAACTTAAAAATGTATGAAGAATTAAAATGAAAAGAAAACAGAGATATGTAATAATATTTGCAGAGAACCTTGCAAGTGTTAGTGCTTTCTATCTGATAGTATCTTGATGAGTCACAAGAACAATGATGAATCCGAGGTCCAATCAGAGAGGATCAATAACTGACTTAACATCAAATTACCAATGAGTGGCAGTGTTAAGACTCAAAACCTGGTCTTCTGACTCCAAGTCCAAGAGCAGCAGATGTGCATATAAATGATCTCCTTGTAAGTAGACTTTACCCTTAAAAAGTAAGCTTTCTTTGCTTTATCAAATCCAAGCACAATATTTACCCATATAAGAATAAAGAAATTTTTGAGGTATCACAGTAAATAAATCTCAGATCCATAGGAAGTCAAGAGTCACAGGAAGTCATATTATATGATCCAACAACTTTTTACTTGGGCAGTGAGTAAGGCTAATAATTCTCTTTACCTCAAACCTAAAACAGTACCTCACTGCTCTCAAATTCTTACCAAAAAATATATATATTTTGTCTGGATAGGCATATTTGAGGCAACATTTTTCCCATTAGCAGGCATGTTTGGTTGGTCCACAGTGTTTCAACCTTTGGATTATTGTTGTAGCTGTGTGCTGTGGAGTCAATTCCAACTTATAACTGTCTTGGTCATCTACTGTTGCTGTAACTGAAATACCCTATATGGATGGCTTTGACAAAGAAAAATTTATCATTTTTTTTTGACAGGTTAAGAAGCTAAAAGTCTAAATTCAGGGTGCTGACTCTAAGGGAAGGCTTGCTTTCTCTCTCAGCTCTGGAGGAAGGTCCTTGTCTCTTCTAAGCTTCTGCTACTGGGAGATCTTCAAGTGGCTTGCCATGTGTCTTTCCCCATCTCTGATTCTTGCTTGCTTAATTGCTTTTATGTCTAAAGAGACTGATTTAAAACACACCCTACGCTAATTCTTTTTCATTAACATAACAAAGACAACCTATTCATATATAGGATTATAACAACAGGTAGAAAGGTTAGATTTACAACACATATTTTTTGGAAACACAATTTAATCCATAACAGCAACCCTATAAAACAGTGCTACAGAGTAGAAGAGTAGAGTAGAACTTACCCTGTAAGGATAAGTAAGATCTGTTTTCAAGCAGTGCGACCAGGTGGGTTCAACCCACTAACCTTTCAGTCAGTAAAAAAATTCAAACTCACTGCTGTGGAGTTGGACTCAACTCATAGCGACACATCCTTGGGTTTCCGAGTCAGTATCACTACAGAAATAGATTGCCCATCTTATTTCTGAGGAGTAGCTGGTGGGTTTGAACCACCAGCCTTCTGATTAGCAGTCAAATGCCTTAGGCACTACACCACCAGAGGTCCTTTTCAGTTCGTATCTGAGTGCTTAACTATTGTGCCACTGGGGAGCCTTTAAACTTTGGATTGTTGTTATGTGTCGTCAAGTCGGACCTGACTCATAGCTTCCGAGGCTGTATCACTACAGAAGTAGATTGCCCAACCTTCCTTCCCAGGAGTGGCTAGTGTGTTTGCTAACCTCTGGTTAGCAGTCAAGTGCCTTAGGCACTATGCTACCAGACCTCCAATATTTTAAAATCCATGGATTTCACTTAAAAATGTATTTCCAATATTTCAAGAAACATTATAGGATCACTAGCCCTACTTTTCTTCTAGAAATCTACTAGTTGGAGATAAACAGCATATGCTCTCTTTTAAATAGGGCACACATTTACAAAACATTTTTATTTTACATTTTTTACATTGGCTCCAGTTCCCACCAGCCTGAATGGCAGTTTCGTTTGTAACACTTGCTTTATAGCAAAAGGATCTTGCTTTCTGAAGGAGCAAGGAAGTAGACATCCCTGGAGAACAGAAGTAAATAGACAAGGAAAAAAAAGTGCTCAAAGTAGTAAGTTCTAATAGGAAAAAAAAAAAAAAAAACCGACAAGTAAAACAGGAAGAAACTGGGAAAAACTGGTCAATGCTTTAAACTAAGTCAAACTAATCAATGCTTTAAATTAAGTCAAGCTCTCACTACTATTTGTCTGGAAGAGTGACTTTCAAACTGATTTAATAAACCTACGGTAAGAAATACATCTTAAATCACAATGTAGAGAAAAACACACACACATATAACTAAAACAAAAGTTTTATCAAATATACTTACTATGTGAGAGATTTTTTTTTGGATGAAATTCCATTTAAAAAAAAAAAAAAAAGCTGGCTATGGTGCCCTTAAATCGATTTAGCAAACTACTAATGGGTTGCTAGCTATAGTATGAAAAACATTTGTCTAGATCTGACCCAATCTGCCTTAGGCAACCTTTGCTAAGTAACCCATCTCCACTCCCAAATGACCCATAATCTCTTTATTTCTACCTTAACAATTACAAAAATTTACTGTTTAAATGCTGTCTTCCTCTAGTCACAATTTCTTTGGTAACAAGACCAGGTATTAGTTATCTTCACATTCCTAGAAGTCAGTAAAGTTCAATAGCACATTATATCGAATAGTGTGCTCTATCGATATTTGTCAAATGGATGAATAAACAAACATCAAATGTGAGATTATGAACTTGGAGATTCTGCAATATACTTAAAGTGAAACTGGTGATACATGATTTTTTAAACTACAAAGAGCAATTTCATATGGTTCAACCTACTAAGATCACAGTATCTTGTTACACTAAATTATACACTTTAACCAGCTAATTGTGGTATGCTTCTAATCTTAATAAACAGTTAATGAGAGAAGATGACACAGGTGAGAAAAGGGAAAGGTCAGAAAAACTAGGAACTTGGAAGGGGAACATTAGAAGGGGAAAAGCTGCCTACCAAACACAATCTCCTAGGTGATTGAAGAGGAGGTGCCCTAATAGAATTTAGTCAGGAAGTTTCTTGCTAAATACCGAGTTAATTATCATCAAAGGGGGAGAGAAGAATCAAAGCTGCTTAGGAAGAGAATGTTTGAATTATAAAAAAATTTCTTCAGTTTTTCCACACATCATGTAACCTACCCACCAACGTTGTTGTTGTTGTTGTTGTTGTTATGTGCCGTCAAGTCTGCCCCGACTCACTGTGACCTCTCCTTGGGTTTCCAAGGCAGTATCACTATGGAAGTAGCCCAACCTTCCTTCCGAGGAGTGGCTGGTGAGTTTGAACCACCAGCCTTCTGGTTAGCAGTCAAGTGCTTTAGGCACTATGCTACCAGAGCTCCCTACCCACCAACATCTTCCCCCAATCCCAGGCTTAGCTTTGAATAAAATAGTGGTAGTTCTATTCACAGGCAGCTGTGATTTATAGTATCATTAAGCTGCTGCAAATTACTCAGTTCTCTGGCCAGAGTTTCCTCATTGATAAAATGGGGAAATAATGGAATCTGTAACATGGGATTGCAAGCACTCATTAAAATTAGCTATTATTACTCTATTATTACTCTGTTGGTGTGGTGTTGTTAGGTGCCGTTGAGTTGGTTTTGATTCATAGCGACCCTATGTACAAAAGAAAGAAACACTGCCTGGTCCTGTGCCATTCTCATAATCCTTGCTATGCTTGAGCCCACTGCTGCAGTCACTGTGTCAATCCATCTCCTTGAGGGACTCCCTCTTTCTTGCTGACCCTCTATTTTTACAAAGAAGGATGATGTCCTTCTCTAGGAACTGGTTCCTCCTACTAACATGTCCAAAGTGACACTAAGTCTTACTATCCTTACTTCTCAGGAGCATTCTGGCTGTACTTCTTCCAAGAACAGATTTGTTTGTTCTTCTGGTAGTCCATGGTGTATTTAATACTCTTCGCCAACATCATAATTTAAAGGCATCAGTTCTTCATCGGTCTTCTTTCACATGCATGGGCAACTGAAAATACCATTGCTTGTGTCAGATGGATCTTAGTCCCCAAAGTGACCATCTTTGCTCATTAACACTTTAAAGTGGTCTTTTGCAACAGACTTACCCAATGTAATATGTTGTCTGATTTCTTAACTGTTGCTTCCATGGGCATCAATTATGGATCCAGGTAAAATGAAATTCTTGACAACTTCAATCTTTTCTCCTTTTATCATGATGTGATAACTAGTCCAGTTATGAGGACATTTGTTTTCCTTATGTTGAGGTATAATCCATACTGAAGGCTGCAGTCTTTGATCTTCTTCAGTAAGTAAAGTCTCTTCACTTTCAGCAAGCAAGGCTGTATCATCTGCATAACACAGGGTGTTAATGAGTCTTCCTGAAATCCTGATGCCACGTTCTTCTTCATATAGTCCAACTTTTCAGATCATTTGCTCATCATAGAGATTGAATAAGTATGGTGAAAGGATACAATCCTCATACACACCTTTCCTAATTTTAAATCATGTAGTATCCCCTTGTTTTGCTGGAACGACTTCCTCTTGGTCTATGTACAGGTTCTGCATCAGCACAATAAAATGTTCTGGAATTCTCATTTTTTTGCAATGTTATCCATAATTTGTCATGATACACACAGCTGTATTTTGAGTGCCTTCCAACCTGAAGGACTCATCTTCTAGCATTATATCAACATTCTACTGCTATTCATAAGGTTTTTACTGACCAATTTAGATCGCCAGTTCCTCCCTTCCCAGTTTGTCTAATCTGGAAACTCTGCTAAAACCTGTCCACCTTTGGTGACCCTGCTGCTATCTGAAATACCAGTGGTATAGCTTTCACCATCGTATCAACAGGCAAGCCATCACAGTATGACAAACTGACAGACAAGTGTCTGTCAATGGTGGTATTATCACCCTAGAGAAGGCAATATAGTCTATCAAGTCATATATGGACTGTAGTTCTGGATCTGCTACTTACTAGATATGAAACCTTGGCTAAATTACAAAGTTTTTTCAGCTGAAAATGGAATCAATAATAGGTTGTTGTAGGGATTAAGTGAGGTAATGAATGTTGTTGTTGTTATGTGCCATCGACTCGGACCCGACTCATAGCGACCCCTCCCTGGGTTTCCAAGACAGTATCACTACAGAAGTAGATTGCCCAACCTTCCTTCCAAGGAGTGGCTGGTGGGTTTGAACCACCAGCCTTCTGGTTAGCAGCACTACGCTACCAGAGCTCCCAAGATAATGAATATAAAGTACTTACTGTGTGCCAGATACTGTATAATAATGTTAGCAATTATTACTTAAGCCCATAAAGATTGTTCCCTTCTCTCAACTCTTAAGTTTTTATGAAGTGTCTAAAAAAGGGTCTGATTTCATCTCCTATTCTCAATATTCCCTTGGTAGAGAAGAAAACAATGCTCCCCAAATTGTGTAAGAAAGAAAAAGTGACCCAGAAGACTCATGTAATTAATAAAACGTTCTTGAATCATTTAAGGATGATAATGCAATAATAATATTTCACTTTTAGGGCCAAAATATGTCAAAATTATTTGACATTATTATAAGAAATTATTATATTACACTGACCATAGACATTAAAATAAGAATCCCTACCTTTTTGTATTGACTGAAGACACATTGAAAATGGGGTAGATAATGGACTCAGGAGAAGCTGGTAGAGGAAAAAATGGCAATAATCTGTATTATAAAATAAAATCATAGCTTTAAATCATAAAATTTTAAAAGTTAATAATACCAAAATACATTCTTCAATTTCAAGACTTACTATAAAACTACAGTAAATACAAAATAGGTAAGTGGGACTGCATAAAAATTAAATACTTTTTTTCATCAAAAAAATTTGTGAAAAAAGGACAAATATTGTATTAGTCTGTTATTGTAAAAGTTAAGGAAAGGTTTATATATTGGAGGACATTTTCTTTGTTGGTTACCAGGGGTGGGAGGGG